AATTTAGGAAAATAGGGTTAAAAAGCGTACGAACCTCGTTGGTAATATTGGGGTTAAATAAAATTCCGACCGGTTGATTAGAAGTATAATTTTTGGAATGTAATGCCACGTAATGTAATGCCCTCGGTGGCACAGACGGTATGTCTGCAGACTTACGATGCTAAAAACCAGATTTTGAAACCCGTGGTGGGCGGAGCACAGATAGCCCATTGTGTAGCTTTGTGCTTAACTTCATATAAACAAACCAAACAAACTAGTCAAAGCTAACACAATGGAGCGTCTGCGCTCTATATAATCGAGTCCCGGATCTTAGCTTTGTAACCACGTAAACTTACTGCTAACACATCGGGGGACATATTTTTTTTTGCCTAAGCTGTAGAATATTACAACGGAGAAAATGCTCTGCGTTAAAATAACATGAAAATCAACAGTCATTCAAGATATTCGAAAATGTGTTTTGCCCTGTGATGTAAGTGCACGTAATTAATAGATAAAACTACTTCTAAGTGTTTGAGTTTGTTTTACTCATCATTTAGAGTTACAAACACGGCACGGTCTAGCAGTTGATATATCTGTATTTGATATTGGTCAATTCACTAAAAGAAACGTTCTCGTGTTACTTACATCTTCTCTCTAAGCTGAACTACAGCGTATTTGGTGCATTCTGACTTGTACATAAAAGCTAGTCTTACTCAAGAGCCTGAACATGGAGTTCACTGCACGAGAAACTACGTAATCAAGGAAGTGTTTTTATACTTTCACGATGAAAAGCAAATATAAAATATTTTACGACAGGAAAGCAGACTCAATATATATACTCTAACATATGTATCACTATTTGTGCTACGTGTAGTACACCTATCACGTTTGTGTTTTTGTACGAGCATATGTCATTAGTTGTGTTAAGACCAATTACGTTTGTGTTTATGTCACCAATTGTGCTATGTGTAGTCACAAACGTGATAGGTATCACGTAGCACAACCAGTGACATATATTGTACAAAAACTTCTTCTTACTACACGTAGCACAACCAGTGACATATATTGTACAATAACACAAACGTGATTGGTCTTACTACACATAGCACAATTGGTGACATAAACACAAACGTAATTGTTCTTACTACACGTAGCACAACCAGTGACATATATTGTACAATAACACAAACGTGATTGGTCTTACTACACATAGCACAATTGGTGACATAAACACAAACGTAATTGTTCTTACTATTACGTTTGTGTTTATGTCACCAATTGTGCTATGTGTAGTATACCTATCACGTTTGTGTTTTTGTACAATATATGTCACTGGTTGTGCTACGTGTAGTAAGAACAATTACGTTTGTGTTTATGTCACCAATTGTGCT